TAGATAACCTAGTATATCTTATATACTAGATATATTATAATCTTTTTTTAAGATAAGTTATTAGTAAAGTCTTAATATTTAGTCTAGTACTAAGGTAATATTTAAGATCTCTAGGTTATAATTATAATACTATTACCCTCTAATATATCTTTATATATAAAGATATATTCTTTTTAGGTAGGTTTTTTCTTTTAGCTCTAGGTGTTCTATATTAATATATTAGTAGTTATTTTAAATTATATAATATTTAGTTAATAAAGATAATATACTTATAGTAGTATACTACTTACTTCTTATATATATATAAAAAGGTTATAGTCTTCTTTATTTTATTATATATAGAGAAAAGTAGTATAAGTAGTTATCTTAAAGAGTAGTTCTTTAGCCTTCTTATAGTTAGTGTGAAGGAACGGGCCCACTAGTGTGGGCGTAGTTCGGCTGCTAGTGAATCTTAGCCTTCAGTGTCCCATTATGTGGGGCCTGCCCGTCAGGCGGACATAATGGCGAGCACTACCAATTGAGCCATCTGGCCAGATAGTTAAAAGGTACGTAACAACAAGTCCCTCACTTGTTGTCTAGCAGCACTTATGAAGGCAAGCAATAGGCACCTAGCCTATGCCAATTAACCAGGCATAGCCCGTAACAGTTAGGCACTATATAAACTAGATCTTTATATAAATTATAACTTATCTTAGTATAAAAGGTTATAATAAAGAGTAGTTCTTTAGCCCTTCTATAGTTAAACACTATATAAACTAACTCTTTATATAATATAGCTTGACTTTTTACTTTTACTAATCTATAATTACTATATAACTACTAATTAGTATTAAATAGGCTTTATATATATATATACTTAGTAAAATAGAAAGGTAAATTAACTTCTTATTAGGTAACTAAATAGGTCTACTTTACTATTATTATATAAAGTAGTTATATACTACTTAAGTATAACTTAAGTTATTCTAGCTAACTAAAAGGTATAATTCTCTCTTAATATAACTAAGGGCTAAATAACTAGTCTATACCCTTTAACCTTAAATTATAAATTATTTATAGTTAACTAACTAGGTATTATATAATTATTAGTATTAATATTCTAATAAGTCTAGTATATACTAAGAAAATATATAGCTAATATATTACTTATATTTTATTTTATTATTATATTAGCTTTTTTTAGTATATACTAAAAGTAGTAGTAACTTATATAAAGAAAATACTTAGTATATCCTTAGACACTATTCTAGTTAATATCCCCCTTAAAGGTAATCTTTTCTTAAATACTTTACTACTTCTAGGAGCCTACTAAGTATTAGCTATATATATACTAAGATAATACTAAGATACTTATAAGTCTTATAGGTAATATAAGTAGCTAAAGCTTTTTTATAAAAGGCTAAAAAAGTTAATACTATATATATACTAAGTTAATACTAAGGATTTACTTAGCTTCTTTTTAGAAGTAGTAAAGTACTACTTTATTAAAGTCTTAGAGAACTTTTTATAGTTAAAGTAATACTATATTATATAAGTATATACTAAATATATACTAAGAAAATACTAAATTAAACTTATATTTTTATACTTATATAAAGATAAAGAGGCTAAACTAATATACTATTTCTATATTAGTATCCTTTATATATATAATAAGTACTTAGTATATACTATTTATATTCTTTATTATTCTTTAGTTAAAGTTAGTTCTAATATAGCTTAGGTTTATTATAAGGTTAATAGTATAAAATATTTTCTAGATATATTCTTTATATATACTAAGTGTATATCTTACTTATTAAAAGTAAATACTAAACTATCTTATAGTATTTTTCTTATAATAACCTTTTACTATTATTTAATACTAGGATATAGTATCTAAGGATTATTAGTATATTAAAAGATAAATAGTAATAAATAGTAAAATAAATAGTATTCTCTAGGTTTATACTAAGTATATACTTAAATTATATACTTATAGTATAGTAAAAGTAAGTACTATAAGTAGTAGTAAAGTTAGTATTATTCTAGCTAAAGTAAAGTATTAGTTTAGTATATATAAAGTATAAGAAAAAGATAATAAACTTATATTAACTTCTTTATAGTATTAGTATATATCTTAATAAGACTACTAGTAAGTCTAGTGCTAATAAGGTATTAGTAAAGTATATATAAAGAATAGGTAAAGAATATATATAGGCTTATAAATATAAGTAGTATTATACTAACTACTAGAGGAGACCTAGTTCTAAATAGCCTTAGTATAATATTAGTATATACTTAATAAATACTAATACTATAATCTAGTATATATAGAGAATATACTACTTACTAATAGACTTTTTATTAATACTAGTGTTAGTATAAGTAAGGTCTAAGACTAGTATATAATTAGTATATACTCTATATATACTAAAGAGATATACTTATAAGCACTAAAATAAGTAAAGTAAATATAGTAGTAAAGCTAGGTGTTATATTAGTATAGTTCTAGTATATACTTAGTATATATATACTATAGGCTAAGAGGTAATAATAGTACTATATATAGTATTAGTATTAGTATTAGTATTAATAATAATATTATAGCTAAGTATAAAGTTAGTATATACTTAGTAAACACTAGATCTATATTTACTTATACTTTAGTATTAATTAAAGAAAGTTTATTACCTTAGTTAAGTATAGCTAAGTATATAATAAGTATATACTAGTAATATTCTTAGTTTTTTATATATTAATATACTAGTGTTTATTTTAGTACTAATAGTATTTATTAAGAATAAAGTTAGTATATACTAAATATATATCTAGATAAAGCTAAGAATATATAAGTATAACTAGTATTATAAAGCTCTTAGATATCTATATATAATAAGTTAGTGCCTTATATATATATTATATAAGTAAAAAATAAAGGTTATACTAAAGGAGACCTAGTTATAGTTTAAGTTAAAAATAAGTCTTATATTAGATTAGTATATACTTTATTATAACTTAATAAAGATTATATATATACTTACTATAATAGTAACTAAAGTTACTAAGGTTATTAGTATTAAAGATACTAAGGTTTATATAGTTAGTAAATATTTAGAATATTATTAGTATATACTAAAAATATAATAAAAATAAATTAAGAAAATACTTTACTATTACTATTACTATTATTATTACTATTACTATTATTACTACTATACTAGTTAGTAATAGTTTTAAAAAAAAAAGAAAAAGAAATTTACTAAGCTTTAGCTTAGTGTTATAGCGCTAGTAGGAAGGTCCTAAAGCAGTGCCTAGCACCTGCCTACTTAAGTGTAGTTATTCTAAGACCTTCTAGTCTTAGAATTCTATATCCTTTTGCGTAGATACTACAGTGGCATACGCACAGCTAAGGACACGTTAGCAGTGTAACTACCACTAGAGCAGCCTAGCTGCCAGTCACGTGACATTATTCTAAGACTACTCTACGGTCGCAGGTTCAATTCCCCCTCACAGCAGGTAGGCTCTTGCCTAGGCTGACAGCCCTAGGGCTAGGGGATGTGGGCTTAAGTAAGCAAGTCTTGGCAGAGCTAGCCAGGGACCAGGGCATGCGCTGCAGACAGCGCGCTGGCGTGGCGAAGGCGGGGATAGTGTTATGGCGCTGGCAGGAAGGTCCTGAAGTAGTGCCTGGCACCTGCCTACTTAAGTGTGGTTATTCTAAGACCTTCTAGTCTTAGAATTCTGTATCCTTTTGCGTAGATGCCACAGTGGCATGCGCACAGCTAAGGACACGTCAGCAGTGTAACCACCACTAGAGCAGCCTAGCTGCCAGTTATATAACATTAGTATATACTAAGAGTAAGTTAATACTAGGCCTAGAGTAAATATATAAATAAAGTTATATAATAAGGACTAGTGCTTAAGTAAAAATTTTTTACTATATATATCCCTTTAGTTATAAACAGACCCTACTAACCCCTAGGTAGACCTACCCCCACTTTTACCCCTTACTTTCGGACATACATAACAATACATTGTTTTAGTATGTTATTTTGCTAGCAACTACCACTAATTTCAACATTATCACCAATATTATCATTAAAATCATCATCAAAATTGCAATGTCTTCTAACTCAGATACCTCTACGGATATTAATAGTACTACTTATATAGAGGTCTATTTAAGGGACCTCGCCTACCTAGATAACTGTATACTAGAGTAGTATAATAATGTAATAGTCTAGCCTAACGAAGGACCTAGTAAGGCTACTTAGCCTACAATATACCTTTATATAAAGGTAGAGATTGCTGGTACCTTTGGCATAGGCAAAATGCTATATGAAAAGAAGTACCTTAAAACTATTGGCTTTTGGCGTTAATTGCTGTAGTCTGATTTACTCCTACTCCTCACGGGGGTTAGTGGGGTCCGTTCGCAACTAAAGGGATAGTGTAACTGCCTTCTATTTTTGTATATATTAACTTTGTATAACCCTGTAGGTCTTTGCTATTACCTCCCCCCTAACTTTTTGGCCCTGTAACAGATACCCCCCCCTAAAGCTAGAATACCCCCCTATGAACTATTCTCCCTTATCACTGTAGTTAACCCTATATTACTTTCCCTACTATTTGACAGAGTCATTCGCGTTGTTCTTTAGAAACGGCCCTAAAACTAGCTCCCCTGGAGTTTGTGTAGGCATAGTCCGAAAACGAGTCAGCTTTAGGGGAAGATGTCAGGCAAGATGAAACCAGTGGGTAGATACAAGGGGCAACTAACGTATGATCAGCTCACTGAAGGAAGCATGGGGTAGTTCGCGACTGTCCCTAGCTAATATTAGGACTATTACTCTGAACAAGTCATTGAGAATTCTAAATGCACCTGATAACATTATATGAACTAGTACAGTCCCCTGTGCAAAGAACTTGTTACAACAACAACAACAACATATCTCTCAGCACATCTTTTTTAGCATTGTTCTTCATCTCAGTACTGGTTACTGCTATACTCATTATATACTGTCATAATGCACGCCTCAACAGTCCTCTTCGCCTCTCTATCTCTTCTTGCCGGCCAAGTCCTAGCAGGAACGGGCCGCTGCTGTAATGGCGGTACAGATGATTTCCAAAACTTCTGCAAAAACAAAAACCTCAACAGTTTTTGTGTAAGCTCCTGTGCCCTAGTAGCGCCACTTGATTTTGTATTGAACATACCTAACTAAACGTGTCTTATAGTGCAGCACTAGGGACCCTAATTTAGGGATAGGGTGTGACGGGTTTAAGCAGTTCCCAACTGGACGCGACACTCAAGTCGATGTCCCCTTCGCACCGACCTGCACGTCTATTGACCAGACTGGCTTTATTTCATGCGCCTAAGACATCAATTGTTGCAGGGTTTAAGACAGGCTCGGGCCTTATGCTTCTTTTATCTGGTAAAGGTCTAGAGCAGCTGAAAATCTTCACCAGAATTAGTCTGACTGGAGTATGCATGCCGTCAGGCAATACAATACAAGAATTTCAGTCAGCCACAAGGTTCTAGACAAGCTCAACCCTGAACCATATCAGCCACAAAGTCTTCTTCGAAATGTATGCACCAGACTTTTCACTTTAGCCAGCTCCCGCTACCAACAGTACAGGATTACAACTTGCATTGCCCGGTTTAATGATGACCCTTTCCACCATCTGGAGATACAGAGACCTGAGGGCGACTATTGATCCAGGACGAAAGCGTCGACCAAACTTCTGAACCCATCACAAGCTTATACAAACCTTGTGTATAGCTTGTGTCAGAAGTGCAAGCTTCCATAATAAATTGATCACGCTTACTTTTGTGAAGCTGGGATACATTCCTATCCATCTTTCATCTTGTACCTGCATTCTAGATCCGACAATTACTTCTATATCTTTGATAGCAGACGCCGCAGTTTATCACATTTACCATATCTAATGCACACACTTGTCCTTTGTATCTGGTGAAGCGAGCAGTAGACCGGTCGTTTATAAAAATGGCAGACGAACTTCTAACAGTTAATTGTATATCAAAGAGCCCACACAGTATTAGCGAGAAAGCAGCAAAAGTCCTTATAGTCCTGGTTTCGGCATACTTTTGGGTTACTCAGTAGCACTCACTAGCGCCATGGCAGACGGGAAACCTTGGCTGGAGGACGTTGGGGTACAGGCGCCAGCGATATCGAGAGGAAGGAACTTTGATGAAGCCTTCATTTTAGATACCTGCCTTATCCGGCAGCTGGACCAGCCTATGACTGTCGCATTGGGCAGATTTAGGCTCAACTGAGCCTTTGCTGAATATCCCTTGCAAAAGTTCGGTCGATTGATGCCTAAGAAAGGTCGTTGGGCCGCAGAGACTGGAATTTAGAAGTGAAAGGGACCTCCTACTTATGATGAAATGACTGGTGTTCAGATGCTGTCACAAGACATGTTGCTAAAAGCAGAAGTAAATGATAATGAATGAACATCTATTAAAAGCTTCCTTCTAAACGAGGCTGTGGCAACCCCAACAAGAGTTCATAATTCTATTTTTCTTTGCTCTATTGCGACTACTTCTTAACTGTGACGCTGCTGACCACCAATTTGAACCAGTACGTCCACCAGACTTGGACCTCTCATATTTATGAATAAGGTCACACTACAGCTGTGAGCATCTGTTTGTTAAGAAGTATAGTGAGTGATACGACTACACTACTGTCGCAGAAGCACTTTTCAGGCGGGAAAGGGGCTTGGAAAATGGCTTAACTACCGGGGGGTCCTGGTTCTAGAGAGCTAAAAGTCCGTAGGGAGGGGGTTTTCAGCTCTCCAGGACCAGGACCAGGTATCTACGTGAGAGAATTTAGGGCCCAGACGTACATTGTAGAAACACCTATCTCCGCGTGGAACCAGTCATGTGGGACCGGTCCCACACCAACAATGGGTTTTCCGGCCCCGGATAGGTAGCTCTCGCACGTGGCTCAGCGATGCCATCATCGGCATTGTGACACCACAATGTCGCCTAGTAGTAGAAGCGTAGGCTCAGATCCAGTAGCCGGTCCACTAAGCCAAAGTAGGCAAAGTCCAGGATAAGACAGCAGCTACAACACAGCAGGACAGTTCATAGGAAGGTATTCCAGCTTCAGGGGGGGTATCCGTTATAGGGCCAAAAAGTTAGGGCAAGGGTATTAGCAAGGGACCTATAGAGTTATATAAAGTTAATATATACAAAAATAGAAGGCAGTTACACTATATATATAGTAAAGAATTTTTACTTAAGCACTAGTGCTTATTATATAACTTTATTTATATATTTACTTTAGGCTTAGTGTTAACTTACTTTTAGTATATATAAAGCTAAAGCTTAGTAAATTTCTTTTTTTTCTTTAAATTATTACTAACTTATATAGTAGTAGTAATAGTAATAGTAATAATAAAGTATTTTCTTAATCTATTTTTATTATATTCTTAGTATATAGTAATAATATTCTAGATATTTAATAACTATATAAACCTTAGTATTTTTAATACTAATAATCTAAGTAACTTTAGTTACTACTATAGTAATATAATAGGATTTATAGTAATAGCTATAGGTCTTAGTAATAGATTACTAAGCCTTTAGCGCCTTACCCTACTATCTAGTTTTCTAGTAGTAAAGCCCTTATTATCTAGGCTCTATAAGCTTAAGTCTTATAATATACTAATACTTACTATTAAGCCTTACCTAGTTAAGTGCCTATAGCTATTATTTTATAATTCTTAAGCTTTTATCTCTCTTAAGTAACTAATATAAATAAAATAAATTAAAATAATAGTAGATATACTAATTACTTACTAACCTATTATTAATATACTACTAGTATAAATAAGCTATAGTTATCTATAGCTAAGTACTTAATTATTAAAGGTGTTATAGTACTAAGTAGAGGAGTCTATAAATAGCGTAGTTAGGGGTTAATTATAACTATTTTCTAATTTACCTTCTCCTAATTCTCTTGTTCTTGTAAACTCTGCTTTTATATAACCCTTAGATGATAGTTTTCCTAGTTATAGCCCTATAGCTAGTAGTCCCCTAGTGCCCTCTACCTCTAGCACCTAACATAATCCCCCCCCCTTGAGGTCTTGTCCTTAGGACCTTAAGTGGTACTCTAGTAGGCCCCTAGGGCTTTACTGCTAGCTAGTATCTTAGAGGCGTCTAGGAATACCTCTAGGCTTAGTAGGTTACTAGGTAAACAGCTGTCTCCTTAGCTAGCTAATTACCTTTAACCTTGCCCTTATAGCTATTATAGTCTAACTAGGCTAAGACTATTACCTTCCTAAGGTTATAGTTGTTCTTAGCTAGGTTATAAGCCTATATTGCCTAACTAGCCTTACTAGGGGTTACTTGCTTTATAATAAAGACACTTTATTTACCTATAATACCTTTATTACCTCTTTATCCCTTTAACTATAATACCTCCTTAGGTACTATATGCCTTTAGTAGGCCTTTGTTATATAGTTACCTCTTTTATTACTTCTATTTCCTTATAGCCTAAGCCCTAAGTTATATTACTTTTATAATAAAGGAGAGCCCCTATTTTACCTCTTAGTAGGCTATACTAGTGACCCCCTAGGTCTTATCCCTTTTTTTCTTTTTTACTGTTTTCTCTTTACTTTATAGGCTTAAGATACTATTATAACTTACTTATTATTTCTACTTAGCCTAATTAGGTAACCTTTTTAGCCTTACTTTTCCTTTAATTTTTTTACCTTTAATTTCTTTCTCTTTTTTTTCTTTTAATAGCTTTACTTTATTATTATTTTTTATTTTTTTTATCTTACTACTACTACTACTATTACTACTGCTGCCTAGTAGTAATAGTAATAATAATAGTACTAGTATTAGTACTAGCTTCTTTACTACTACTATATCTTCCTTTGCTTTTACTAATACTTTTACTAATAATACTACTACTGCTACTACTAGCCTTACTACTATTAGTCTTACTAACTAGGGTAGTTCTACTAGCCCTTAGTGCCTCCTTTACTTTACTTACCTCTTACTGCCCTTATGCCTACGTTAAAGAGGACAAGCTTATCTATAATATACCTTATAACTACTATATTTACTAGATAACTAACTAGTGTCCTAGTATATTAGGCGCCTATACTACTACTTTTTTTTACTATATAAAGACTACTTATATACCTCCCTTTACACCTAGTGCCCCTCTAGTGTTTTCCCTTAGTGCTTTAGCTAATATATCTTAGCTATTAGTAATAAGTGTATTTATTATACTACTATATATAGTAAGCCTTATATCCTAGTATATTTACTTTTACTTCTACTGTCCTTATAACTTCTAGTAGCTACTAACCCTTAAATAGGCTATCTATACTACTACTATAGCTAGTATTAAGCTATACTACCTCTTTAAGGCTATAAACTATTCTACTAAGCCTACTTATGTCTACTATAGTATTACTATACGTTTACTTTCTCTAGTGTCCCTCTAGTAACCCCTTGTACTAATGTTAGCCTAGGACAAGATTAATAAGGCCTAGGTTATAGCTAAGAAGGCGCTTTAGCGCTAGGTTAACCTAGCTAAGGCCCCTAATACTAAGCGTAAGGCTAAGGCTAAGGAGGAGAAGTGGCTTCTTTATTAGCGCTATATTATAGCCCTTAAGACTACTACTAACTTCTTCTACTACTAGGTTAAGCTAGCTAAGTCTATGCTTTATACTACTAAGGTTACTACTATAGCCTTTAAGGCCTAGACTATTGCCCTCTAGGAGTAGACTACTGCTATTATAGCCTAGACTACCCTCTTTTTAGAGTAGTCCTAGACTTACTCCTAGGTTATAAGTATTTTTCCCCTAATACTTACTTAGTGCTCCCTAGTACTTCTTATACTAGTTATTAACTTCTCTTTAGTATACTAGTAAGCTTAAATCTAAGGCTAATAAGGATAAAGGTAGTGCCCTATGTCCCTATATCCTCTGCCTATAATAATAATAATAATAATAATAAGAATATTAGTAATAGTAATTTAGAGGATAATAAGTAGGTAGTAAGTAGGCTTTACTACTACTGCCCTAGTGCCCCCTAGGCCTTTCTTTTAGTCTATTTTCTTTTACTTATTATGCCTTTTAGATACTTAGCCCTTAGGCTACCTATATTCTTTAGCCTTAGTGCTATAATAATTAAATCTTTAATCTAGTTATCCTTAGGCTAATCTTTACCTTACTTAGCTATACTCTTGTCCTCTCCTAGTAACCCCTACTTATAGTTATATTATAATCTTCTATAATATTCTCTAGGGTTCTTAAGAGTTTTCTTTTTACTATACTCTTTTACTTAATAAGGTACTACTAATTTTACTATAGCCCTTTATAGGCTATAATTTAA